TCCACAGGAACTCATAATGTTCAGTGGTATTTTTACAAAATTTTTTCTATGCCCATGATTTCCTCCGAGTGTGAAGACACCTCAAACTGAAGATAGTTCAATACAATAACACACTATATAGAATACTTATGGTGACAAAACGTTATACCTATAAAAGTAGAACTCTTCTGATAGCAAAATAGATGGTCTATTTTGAAAAAGCGAACTATGAAATGAAAGTTTAGTTTTGTGGTAGAAGCGCCAAAGAAGGACTTCATAACAGTATTTTTCAAAGGGGATCTTACACCACCCAGAGAATGTTTTTCAAGTCTATATCTGATATGTTCTTTGTTTCGCAGTGTTATCTCAGGTCTATATCCATGAGTTGGCCCTCACCATGACCATTGGAATAATAACAAAATTACTACCTTTTGAGCTGGAGGAACTTTGAGAATAGACAGAGGTTAAATCAAATGAAAACTTTTTTCTCTTGCAGCACGGTTGCATCTCCATGTCAATACAATAAAAAAACATGATTACACGCCAACAATAATCAAATTACAGATGTGATTTCAAATATCTTGTTTGTGGTAAAAGCTACATTGGTGGAACTTCAAGACCATTTATAGTGCGTGAGAATAACGGTGAATATTGAGTTTTGAATGGAACAAGACAAGAATGATTTTCAATGAACCCCAAGCCCCGTTTACAGGATGCCAGTTGATGAGACAATTGTCGAGGCCAGTTGTTTTAGACGAGTTGCGTCAATGTCTGAGGCCACTCCAATTCAATGAGAACTTGTTCATACGTCGAAATATTGCCACGGCAGTTGGTGACACAAAATGGCGGAGTTCTAATAGTCTGTTGTGTCTCGTGATGAATTAAGAGTAATGTGCGATAATCTTTGTCGGGAATTTATCGCCGAGGTTTGCGAAGTTCTCGAAGAAGAGTCGAATAAGAACAAGGAATGGTCAAGGAAATGGCTTTTTTATATAAACTATATTTTTGGTTCCACAGGCATTTATGCTCCTTATATAACTCCACGACATCGGCGGCGAATGCACATCTTCACCGGCAGCAATGTCAGGCAATTCCACTTTCTGCTTCGATAAGTTTGTAGGGGGTTAAAATGGACACCAATATGTCTTGGCACAATCATGTCGGTGGAATTGCAAATGTCGCTTCTCAAAATCTCGGAAAACTGTTCCAAACCAGAAAACTGTGCACACCTCAGCAACTTTTGATGCTTTATAAAGCTCAGATCAGACCTTCTTTGCAGTATTGTCGTCATGTATGGAGCTCCGCTCCTAAGCAAACCCTGAAGCAACTGGATTCCATCCAAAGAAGAGCCATCCGCCCGATTGGGAACGCGAACATCACTTGCAACCTTGATAGTCTTGAACATCGCAGAAAAGTTGGAGATTTGTCTCTCTTCTATAGATACTTTCACGGAAAGTGTTCAAGTGACTTGGCAGATTTGATTCCACCAAGAGCGGTACATATCAAAAATACGCGACGGACTGTGGCTGCTCATCGTTTTGAGGTTCAACTCTGTACACCTCGAAATTCACTGTTCAAAAACTTTTTCATTTGGAGAAATTCGTTTATGTGGAAAAAACTTCCTAAGAATGTTTTTCCAAATGGATTTTCTTTTTGAGCCAGATTGCCTTCGTCAGTCGAGAAGTCTATGTGTGTGAGTTCAATTGTTCAGTTTATAGTGGACTGTTGCGAAAAACTATGTCACTGCGCCCAGTTAATTGTCCTCTTTCTACTCCTGCAGACAGTCGAATTTCAGGACAACTTTCAGGGCAGTTGGCACGCCAATTGGCCAGAGGTGTTTACACGTAGCCAATAATTTTATATCAGTAAGCTGTTCTCTGTCAATTGTCTCCTCAACTGGAATCGTGTAAAACCAGCTTAATAGACATAAGCTCAAAGGATCTGAAAATATGATAGAACTTGATGAAATTCCATTACAACGTATTGAAGAAAACATACTTAAATGTGTTTTGCTGTACTAAAGCATCTTCACGAGTCACAGCACAGTACTGTACAGTACAGGGTACTGCAGAAGAGAGTTCGAGCAGACCATACGACGCAGAAGAGGGAAGGCCAAAGTGACCCCAGCTAGCCTGGGAATCTTAGAGAAACACGACGTGAAGCCAACAAAAACTATCAGACAAAGTATAAGCTCAGCTGAGAACCCTAAAGAACACGGGATATACCGGATTCCTTGTAGCTGCGGGTTGGATTACATTGAAACCACGAAAAGAAGTTTGGGTAGACGTCTCTCTGAACACAAGAAAGATTGTCGACTCGGACAAACCGACACACATTAGCTGTAGCCGAACATGCTCTCAACGTGTTAGTTATCACACGTCAAAAGGTAAGACCTCGTTAGTCCTTAGCTTGCACAAGTTTCTCAACTTCTGAGAGTTGTCGTTCGTATGAGGGCAACGGCTGATTAACGGAAAAATAGATAGAAAGATAGATAGATAGATTCACATTATGTCATTCGAAAACAAAATTTATTCAGATAAAACTAAAAACTACTGCCTAAGTGTATGTAAAGAGGCAAAAGAAATTCAAAAACATAGGAATAATTTGAATAGAAGAGGCAATTAACATCAATAAAATCTGGCTACCTGTTCTTACTGGTACACAAACAAGGTCAGGTGATCCAATGACGAGAAACCAAGCCACGCCCACTAATAATAATATTAAACCAAAGTCAAATACCACCATCATAGTTGGCGGATTCGGAACGCGGAAACCACCTCGGGTACTGCGACCGCCTTTGATAATATCTACCGCAGTAGTAGACGAAATGTTAGCCATAAAACCTGCAGACCATGGCCAAAAAAACCGGAAAATAGTTTTCAAACAGTGATATCCGGTCGTGAAAGTATACATTCTTTGAACATAGACCTATTTCACATTTCTAAACTCCTTTGACATCTGTCGGCCGGAAGCGGACTTTAGCCTCCGAAACGTTGAGATAAGTATCTGTATAATTTCTTACTGATGAAGAGTGACATTTTTGAAGAAAACTTTGAATTCACTTATAGTGATGGAGTAAAAAGTTTCTCTTTCTACTCCTGAATAAAGACCCGTGGGTTGGGCTATCTATCGGGCGCGTCCCCAGATGACGGATAGGAGAACGGCCAGGAGACTGGAGGCCCTGTCCGGGAAGCCAAAATGTGACCTTACGGACGGGATCGCCGAACTCCTGGTCAGTGGCAGAAATGAGTAGGGTGAGGGAAACTAAAACTCCCCAAAAGCCTTTGCGAAACATACCATCGTGGACCAGCCTACCCAAGCTAAGGTTTGAGGAATCGTGCCGACAGCTGAATGGCCGCAGGGTGATATGCGGTCACGCATATCCCCTTGAGGAACCGCGCGAAACCTCATTGTAATCAGCCTTACTCTGGTAATGCGGATTCTTCTTGAGGTCACCAACTCTTTCCGTGCTACTCGTGGGAACACATATACGAAACAAAAAAAACAGACATAACAAAAACCTATTCCGAGGCTGGACAGAAGTGCTCACCTCAATCTATGGCGGTGGCTGGGGATGAACAGAAAGGCTAGACATAGCAGATCACCTCGTGATGTAATACAAAGGCGGCGCATTTGCGGCGCCGAGGCCAAAAGGAGGAAGAGAACGAAAGAGGCAGGAGTGGCAGCAACTATAAGTGCACCCCCTCCTCCCCCACTCCACCTCCAACAGCACGGACACTTCCTGCGGCTGGCACCAAGATCTCCGCCTTGAATAAAGGCAAGGAACCGGCTGCCCCTGCAGGAAAGCGCCCTCACTTTGAACACTTCTACTAGGGGAACCCCAGGAAGGATGAAGAAGCCGCGCAACGACAGTAATATCGCTGCACCTTCCAAAACCTTCGCGGAGGCCACCGTGAGATACCTCAAGGTTGCCAAAGAGAGTGTGTGTTCGGCGAGTCTTGGTCTACACCTGCCGATATAAAGGAGATATTTCCTAGTGACCTGTCCACCTTCTTGGACAGGACAGGATGGACGATTACCTAGGTAAACTTCTCGGGAGGATGTACAATGGGTCACATGTGGCCTAAGTGCTGTGGGTATACAGTCACCCTCCCTACTATATACAAACATACCTGAATCTGTTAAAAATTCTGTTTTTTTCGTTAACCAGCTGTCGCACCCCAACGAACGACAACCCTCAGAAGTCGAAACTTGTGCGAGCTAAGGATTAACGAGGTCTTACCTTTTAACGTGTGAGTCCTAACAAGGGTTGGACGATAGTGAAAATTGATCGTTCATACTAGGGCTTGAACTACCGACCAACACGGCAGTCAATTCGAGTGAGTAAACAAAGCACCCACGTCGAGCCGCCTGACTAACAAACGACAATATTTTTCAGATTGTGGGAGGTGAAAACACTCACAGTTTGTCTTGAAAATTAATTTTCCCTACCTTGGATTGAATAAAATCACGTCTACATATAGCAAAAATATTACTCTATTGTAGCGCATTTCAGATAAACAATATGAAATGATTTATTCGCCCAATTCATATCGCCCAGAATTAATCAGATACTTTTTCAAAACCCATAATTTCAATATACTCTGCTATGAGCTGCCACATATTTAATTAATCTCCATATCAGTATCCGGCATAATTGTTAATGTTATCATCACTGTCACTTCATTTGATCTGTTCACTCATCCTGTTTATTCGAAAATGTCGAACTTTGATTCCCGATCTTAGTATTCGTAATCATTTTAATCAATCAGTCAGTTATTTTGTCCGACAATGACGTCTTTGATACACCCCAGTAGGTGTTGAGGAAATCATCACTTTCCAATTGTGACACGACTGTCATCATTTCGCAGACGATTCCACTCTGTAAGTGAACCTTTAAACCCATTTCTGTTGTGATTTGATATTCAAAACATGACTGTTAAGAGGTCGTCAGTGATTTCACTTTCTCAAGGTACCGGTCGAAATCAAATTAAAGATCGAACAAAAATATTCTAAACAACCTTGAACACTTATACGATCCGGAAAATCAGCTTATCGATTCTTGGCTGTACCGTTTGACCACCACTTACTTTCCACCTTCTTCACTCAGGATGTTGGTAACCGCGAAAAAACACATTCACCCGTATCACTTGAGGCGCACTGAAAATTTTTAAAAAATCGCGACGCACTGATTTACTGGAAAAGGTGGTAACACTGCTCGCAGGCCAGCTGCTGAAGGGAAACCTAGCCGGCGACAGTTGTAGCTGCAGCGATGGTACAAAGCCGCACCCCACCAAGTAGTGAGCACCGGTGACGTCATCGCAAGCAGATCTTTCAGTTTGCGGCATTGCCAGATGTAGAAAATGGGGTGGAACCTGTTACTTTCTCGTTGCACTCAACTTATTTGAGGTCAAGAAGATTATAATCTTTAACTTTGTTGCAGTTTCGTCTCGGACATGATATTGTAGAATAATTTTCATTAAAACATGTTGAGTATTGGATTTTATCAGAATGGTCTTTCTTTTCTTAAATCAAGGCTAAATTAAAAATTGATGTATATGTGTTAGATTTAGATAGGTTATCGCCTGGAAACAAGGAGTTGGGGGTTTTTGTCAATCAGAAATCAGAGCTATGATCGTGACAGTAAGTACGTTAATAATTACATATAATAAGTGTTTTTTGAAGTTCAGTGTCTCTTATACTTATCCAAGTGAGCGGAATCAGATATATGTATATTTAAATTTTTCGGGTACTCTACGAAGGTTCAGTTTTTGTTCCACAAATAAGTTTGGTATTTGTATAGTAGATTTCTATTGCAAATTAGATAAGCTATTATTGCTATCATCTCTCCGGTAAATTCAGAATACTCCCGTTGCTTTTTGGAGTGACATGTCAAAAACGGACAGAAATGAAAGGTGAAACGTGTAATCTCTGGCGTAGAATAGCAAAATAGATGATGAGCTAAATATAAAATGGATTGGATGAAAGAATGAGGACGTTAACTGGAAGTTGGCGTATTCAAAAAACACACATTGATGTAATATTTCCACTTGAAAGTTTACAACACATTTGAAGTGTATTTCTAACTTGAACAATTGCCTCTATTTATATCTAACAAGCTACACATTCACTTTTAGACACATATCAATGATTTCGGGTAGAAACTCACAAGAAACTTTCCTGTGAAATTTCCCGCTAATTTCAACAGAACGATTCGTACAAAAATAAAGCCAAGGCCTGTTTAGAATGATTTGCTGTCTCCAGACTTTTGAAAGCATCCAAAAATCTAGTGTCACTAGATTTTTCAGGTCTCCGAAAACGGAAATAGGCGGCGTATTCTATTAAACGAGTTTCAATAACTCGCTTGTATTTTTTATGTATTTGTATCACAGTGTATTTTTTATCACAGTCCGCACAGTTTATTTCATATATCTCCGACTATCCAGTCTCCAACATCTTATTTTCAGGGTTACCTACTATTTGTTGGAGTGAGCAAGAGCTTCGTTGAAATTAACGAGAACTTTCACGAAGAAATTGCCGCGAATTTTCACTCCAAATCATTCATATTTGTCCCCCATGAAATTACTTCTCCCACCTCAGAACACAAGCATTGTCTTTCGATGTTCGTTTCACTAATCCAATCAGCAACATCAAGAGATGACAAAAACTGATTATGTTAACGAAACGCGCTTCGAGAGACAATACTTGCCTTGTGGTGTAGGAACAGTGTTTTAATTATATCTATTAGGGTAATAATATAAAAACTCATCTGTATATCAATGAGCATCCTTTACAACTTTTTTGGAGTATTGCACTAAAATAAAAGCTTGAGAGATGGCAACTTGAAGTATTTTGAGTAATGTGGTAACAAATTGTTGGTTAAGTATCTTTTTGAAATGTCAAAAATAATTTTTGAGATGTTACTAAGTCATGTCACAGACGAATTTATACTTTTTTATACTGCGAAACAAACTGGTACTGATCAAGATTGTCCATCACCACTGTGAACAATAGTGTAAACTGATACATCTAGTACATTTACTTCAGTAGTAAATCTGATGTAATTTTATATAGGCGTTATAGTTCCCAACTGTATTGAAGGTATCTTCTCTACCATCCAAAGCATTTTTAAATCTTTTTAGCACTTTTGTGCAGTACCAATCACTCTTAGTGACATTGGTCCTAAGAACAGTAGTACATAGTTCTGCTTGAAACATGTAGGTGAGGGTAATTTCAACTAGTTTAGAGCTTGTATATGCCTTACCAAATACTCCAAATACTCTACTAATTCACTTCTTTGTTTAACTTAAGTAAGGTCTTCAAATTCATATTCCTCTAAATGGAACCAGCACTGTTTTTGTGTTTTCCTTTGCAGTTCACCTTGCTTGTTACCCCATATACCTATAAGGTTTTTCATCCAGCGCTTTTTATCTTTAAATTTAAGTTGAACAAAGTGTGTGTGGAATATCATCGAAATGATCCATTCGTTTGGGAGACCTGTTTATGTCATTATGTCTCAAATTTCCGCCACGGTTTCTCCGAGTGGAGCGCATCCGAAACATCCAATTTTCCTTGACTTCGGCTCATAAATCAGGCTGAATTTGATCGATGACATGGGTTGTTTTATCTTTGAGACGGCTGTGGTTCGTGGCATATTCACATACAGCTACGAGTTAGGAAAACCCCAAAAGAAAAAGTCTAACGGGGTCAAATCGAACGATCTCGGTGGCCAGTTTACATCACCTCCACGTGAGATGACCATGCCCTCAAGTCGCTCGTGCAGAATATCAGGCCAAAAAAAATTGGTTATCATCGACCCATACTGCTCGCCGTTGACAATGATGGCCTGGCCAACGTCGTTCTCAAAGAAATATGAACCGATGACGCCGCTAGCCCAAAATCCACATCAAACAGTGACTTTTTGGGATGCATTGGACGCTCTTGGATCACAAGTGAATTGATATTGTTCCAAATTCGACAGTTTCGTTTGTTCACGTATCCATTCATCCATGAACGGACCTCAGCGCTGAAGATGATTTTTCAATGAAACTAAGGGGCAGTTGCCAACTGCTTTAGAGCTCATTCAGCGAACACACGTCGTTCTCTATGGCCGTTCACCTTCAGTTCCTGGGGCAGGTGAATTTTGTACGGGTGCAGGCCGAAGTCACGATGCAAAATTCGCCAAGTTGTGTCCTGCGGAAGGCCGGGGAGACGCGAAGTCGACTGTCTCGGACAGCGGCGATGTTTTCGACAGATCTTGCGTTTTGTCGACGTACGGGTATTGGTCGATCGTTTACTGAACCAATGGACTCAAATTCATCCAACACATTGCGAAGAGTCTTCTAGGTAGGACACTTACGGTGACCGTAAAATCGGCGAAGCGCGCGGTACGTTGCACGAACAGAACACCTACTTTGATGAAATAATTTCATTATTTGCACGAATTGTTGAATGTTATATCTGTCTATAGTGATTTGGCAAAACAGACTGATAAATGACAACAAATTCGACGAGTGTAGCTTTAACAAGATGCCGTTACTGAATGTTAAAGTTCCGAAGTCCTGGTTGGAAGGCGCTATACTTCATTTTTTATACAAATTTCCTTTTGTGTCTTTCTCCCGTGTATTTTATGTTTACTGTGACTTTATAAATGACACTCAAATAAGAATATACAATCATCTCATGAAATAAGAGGTTGTGACCGAAATAGAGATTTTATTTATTCAAGGTACAATCATGCGACCAACTCGATGATAGACTTGGCAACGCCGTATCCGCATTGCTCATCGATTTTGTGAAATTACATCCTGAGAGGCGAGAAGACTAAGTTATTTGAACACGGGATGCATGTTCGCCAGCCTTCCCTGGCATAGGATGCGTCATACTCCGCTAGGGACAGAAAACGAGATAAAAATATGGCGGATAACCTTGGATCCAACGCGTCACTACGAGAAAATTAGTTCCTAGGAAAAGTAGGTATGTTGATTTGTATGAGTAATTTGGCAAATACTCAGAAGATTCATGAAGGGCTTGCCGCGCGTTAAAAATGAAAGATAAGAATGTTACGAGTTTTTTCATTCGCCGAAGTGCTTTTGAAGTGATAGTAAAGATAATGACACCTTTGTGTTTTCCAATTGAACTTGGACAAAGAATCATTACTGTGGCCAATTGAAATTCCTTTATTATATACATGCAATCCGGGTGTTGAGAGTTTAAACTGTTTAAAGGAATGGAGTTTTGAAAAAATATGCTCTATCGAATAGATGTTGTTAAAGAGGTCACTTTATCTTGTTTTTCAAACGGTTTTATTTAGCTTGCCCTGTTTGTTTTGGTCAAATTTAGTAATTGAAGTTTGACCCCCTTCCTGTTGACAGACTGATCTCAAATTTGGTACTCACATTCAGTTTGGATGACAATACAATTAAATAAAATCATTGTAAATCCAAGATGGCCGTATCTACAAAATGGCGGATTACGTATTTTTTTCATAAATACCTTATAATGGGTAGTTGTACCTTATAATGAGATATCTTGACCAGTAGAATACTTTGAAAAAGATGCAAATTTAAGATGGCTCCAGCTAGAAAATGGCGGATTATAAATTAACTTGTAATACTGATCGTGTTTTTTATTTTTTAAACTATATTTATGAAATATTCAAGAATTTTTCAGGTGTACATTTTAAGATAACGTTTTCATTGTTGAAATCCATATTCTGGTTTGCTTTCAAATAATCGAATTAGATTTTAAAATGTATCTTTCGATTCGTTCAAAACTTTTTTCTTTACTAAATCACGGGTAATTGAAAATATTTAAATATCTAAATATTTCATCTGTAGTACAAAATTTCACTAACACTTACAATCCTTAAAATCCATTTTTTATTTTGAATTCCTTTTGAAAACCTGTCAAGGTTACATACAGCGCTATCTGCCCGCGAATAGATCAAGAAATATTGAGAAGTTACGTACAGCGCCATCTGCCCGCGAATAAATCAAGCAATAACGTCGATAATTCTGTCAATACAGATCCCGAGCTTGAGAGTTACAAATAAACATACATACATACATACAGGTGAAGCTAATATAAAGCGTGTAAAAAATTATGAAATCGTTGGGCGTAGTATTCACATATTTACTAAGATTACGCTACGCTGGACGATAGACACTGAGAATCACATAGTGATCAATATAAAGAGAATAAATAGATATTTCTCTGAGACAGAGTACCTCCTCACTATACATTTTTCTC